ATATTAGATCTACAGCTGAAATGATCAGATTAAACCACCACAGTAGATTTTTAAAATCATCTTTACATAAAAGATCCTTTCATTTCAAAAATCGCCTCCCTTTTCCGTTTGAGTTATTCTGAAATACCTGATTGGAGCAACATTGTAGTGAACTCAGAGACCAGAGTGAGGCTCGGCAGGCAGATCCAACTGGTTTGGACTATCGTAGCTCTGTTTTTTGAGATGATTATTATCAGATGGCTGCTATAGGCCTGAGTTTGCACAGTGCAGTACACTCTCTGGCTCTGTGAGGCAGTAAAACTCTGACCCCTGGTATGATGAAAGGGAAGTTGCTCCTTTGAGCGTGTCAAGCAGCGGTGACAGAATTCCCTCCCCCCCATCCTCCTGCCCCTCTGACCACAGCATGACCCTCAGCTCTGTCCGGATTAGCACAGATAAAGACATACGTTCATTAGCCTCACATAACAGACACTGATGACTTCACTATAAAAAAAAGTCACCCTATAGGTTGTTGGCTTAAAGCTTTAGGTGGGAGTCAGTTTAACTCAAATACCTATTAATTCTGTTTCAATACCTGAAATTAGTTTTTTTGGTATAGGGCTTACTGATATGACTGAAGAGTTTATTGCAATAAAATGTCTAATTTAAGTCAAGATTGCTAATTATTGCCTTTTTTTAATGACCTATTTTTTAATAAAAACCAGTAGAAAAAGGTTAATTTTGAATTTAGCCCCTTCATCGTATTTATCAAGGTGTACAGGTAATAATTTCAGCAGTTAAAAACACACAAAAGATAAATATATATCAACATGTAAACAAACACAAGTATAAAAGAATGATCTCACCTTGATATACATTAAGTAAAGATAACAAGTAAAGCTCGGTGGTACATGCAGGGCGACCGAGGAAAAGATGCACTGAGAATAATGGTGTAAATGGCCAGGCATCACCATGAGAGCCTGCACTGGCTGCTGCTCACACTGTGACTCTGTCAGCCCTCACAGCAGACCGCTGGGAGTGCGTTGCTCAGGTGGAGGTGGTGGGTGGTTTTAGATAGGATGTGAACATTGTGACAACATGGTAAATATGAAATCACAGCTGCAACTCTCTCAGGTTGGACTTGGTGTACAGCTCTGGATGACTATCTTTTAGTTGCTTTCTCTGTTTGTGACACTGTTTGGTCATTTGTTTTTTAGGTTTTTATTCCACAAGCCACATTGGAGCTGTTGCTGCATCTGCACTTACCCCCACCATACCACACGTTGTTTTTCTTCAGTGGCTCCAGTACTGTCAGCCTCTACAGTATTGTCAGTAATTTTGGTAAAAGAAAACAACAACTTTTTAGAATTTTAGATACAACATCAGACCAAAATAATGTTTCTCTTGACATCTGTACGATCAATGATTAAGGATATTTTCAGAAGAAGAGAAAAGAGTAACATTTGAAACAAAAGGAAAATCCACAGTGTCCGTTAAATGTACATGCTAAATCTGATTTCCTATATCTTATATCTTTCCTTCTGCTACGGCTATATTTCCCTGCCTGTACTCATATATCAGGAGTTACAGCAGTAAGCAATGTGACTTTGTGTTTGTTGGTTGACAAACTGACCAATCAGAGCAGACTAAGCTTTTCAGGAGGCGGGCATTAAGAGAGCATTTAGTCAGAGGGAGAGGGAAGCGATGCTGCAGAAATTACTGTATGAGGGAAAAACAATATGTTTTTGAACATTAAAGCATGTATACACAATCTGGACCTAAAAAATAAAAGAATCCTGTGAATAAACATGACATGAGCTCTTTAAATAAAGTACAACTTAAATTGGTGGCTTTTTTGTAGTTACTTTCTCAGATTATCCATCCATTATCTATACACCGCTTAATCCTCACTAGGGTCGCTGGAGCCTATCCCAGCAAGGGCAAAAGTAGGGGACACCCTGGACAGGTCGCCAGTCTATCGTAGGGCCACACTTAGAGACAGACAACCAAGCACACTCACATTCACACCTACGGACAATTTAGAATCACCAATTAACCTCAACATGTTTTTGGACCTTGTGAGAGGAAACCAGAGAACCCGAAACTCTACGCAGAAAGATTCTGGTGCCTCCACTGGGATGCGAACCGGCAACCTTCTTGCTGCAAGGCAACAGTGCTACCAACTGTGCCACATTGCAGCCCTTTCTCAGATTAGACAATGGAGATTCTAAGTGTTCCTAAGTACACAACTGCAATTCATTTGCATCACTTACTCACTTTCTGGAGTCTTTTCTCTCTCTCTCTCTCTCTCTCTCTCTCTCTCTCTATGGTTGACAGCTGTCTTGTACATTTGAGGTAATTTGCTGTTTGGTAAATTCAAACTAGTAAATTCAGTTTCCAGGTTTTGCTTTGGATATCAGGATTTGGTTAGCTTAACTTAGAATAAATACTGGAAGCAGAGGGGATCAACTAGCTGGGGTTACACTAACTGACATCTTAAAAACAGCAATTTTGTTGTCTTAGGCAAAGCTAAGTGATTCCAGTTTATCCATCTACCCAGAATTTCTGTGCTGCGTCTTTAGCTGCAGCATTGGTTACCAGATACAGTTTTGTTTAGAAATGCTTGTATGCGATTCTGCACAGGGCAAATTTGCCCAAAGGTATTATGAATTGTCATCTATTGCAACCATCCAGAAACCTAAAAAATAATGTGACAGTCCAAAATGGACCAGGTGCATACAAGTCCAAGAAAAACCATAAAATATCTAAAATCCAAAACAAAACCAAACACAAGCTGTACTAAATATATTTAACATAGGTGTTTTCGTCTTAAATTCAGCTTTTTTTTTTGTTGTTGAACTTTTTATTTTTTCCACAGAGGTAAAACAGATGAAGATGTACAAAACTCACCCGTGACAGTTTACAACCCACTCAGTCCATATCATGTTACCTTCAGTCACAAATACATATAAAACCTCAAATGCAACCTTTTTTAAGTGAAGAAGAATTTATTTCCCAATGCTCCTGGCATCACAAATTCCGTTAAAAAAAAAAGAAAAAAAAAGAAATATATATATGATACAGGTAGTCTTACTCATATGGTGGACAATCTGCCCTCCGTGACTTTAGATGACTGACCCATGTAAGGCGTGCTCTGTGAACTTGAGCGGCGTCGGGAGGCCAGCACCACGGGGCCGTGCGCTTTGTCAACTAGAAGCAGTGGGGAGGACAGAGTAGATGCTGCGCTGTGCTGTGTTACACAACGAGGTCAGAGGTCAGGTGTAGAGGTCAAAGGGATGACTGCTGAGCAGCCTGTGAAACCAGCACTTGAGTTCCTTCACAATCTGTCACATGTAATATCCACCATGGAGTGCTGAGACGCTCTGAGTCCGACTACCGCTGAAGTCAGACTGCTAATCAAGACTCAGACCGTCTGCCATGCTGAACAGGGAGCATACAGAACTGATCTCGAATGGATGAAAATAGCTTTTAGATTGAAGGCTTACCTGTGGGACCAGGTACAACTGTAGGCACAAGTTTGGACAACTTCTGGCTTCATACCTCATAAATATAAAAGACTAAAAATTGTAGCATGTGCAAGAGCATTCTTCTAAATCATCTTTTAGCAAATCCCCCATTTTCCCTCCAAACAATGTGATTGGAGCCAAAGAGGTCCCTGTGAGTTTCATCTGTCCACAGCACTCTGGCCCCTTACCTCATCTCACTAATTGTACATCCTCGATTCTGTTCCTCAACTCCTCTCCTCGCGTCTTCGTAACTCCCACCAGAGATTCGAGTAGAGGAGGCAAGGTAGAGATACAAGGAGGGAGGAGTCGAGGTAACAGGTTAAAAACCTCACAAAATGAGACATCCTCACTTCGGAGTGTTAGTTTAATAAAAATATGACCATTGTTATGTATTTTGATCTACCGGGGCCTCCGTAGTTGAAAAACCCGAAAGGGCTTGGAGTAATCTGCTGGACTTGTTTTGTTATTAAGACTGCACTATCCCCAATGAATCTGTTACACTGTTCATTAAAAGGTCAACACTGCGACGTAGTCCGAGTCCTACGTTTATTTCAAGTCACTGTAGTAAAGACATAACAACCATGGCCTTATTCTAACCTACCACTGAGTTGTATGATCTCTGTCAGATGAACAGAACAATGCTCGTGACAACTTACACCATAAAATAAATTGTTATCAGCCACAACATGGCAGATTGTGACAAGAACAAACAGATGCCATACATTTTTATTTTTATTTAATACTTGTGAAGTGTTGAAATAGTCATGACATATAAAATAGTATGCAAATGAAGAGTGACAGATATTATGATTGAGTGATGTATGTATGTATGTATGTATGAATGTATGAATGAATGAATGTATGAATGAATGAATGAATGAATGAATGAATGAATGAATGAATAAATACTTTATTGATCCCCCACTGGGGGAAATTTACACACCACAGCAGCATCCAAAAATATAGAAAGTACAAGAAAATAACAGTAATTCAGTAATGTGCATCCCCAGTGTCCACACACAGCAGGTCCAAGTCAGTCTGCATACGATTAAAGTCTCCTGAGATGATGATCAGAGACTGAGGGTGTGATGTTTGCACGAGTGTAAAAACAATAGAGCCATGGCTCAACGGCTCAACGGCTCACCAGACACGGACCCCAAAAGCTTGTATATGGATGTATGTATATATGTGTATATATATCATATACACACATTTGTGTGTCGTGCTCCCTGCATGCTTTGTATATTCTAACTGTATGTCACAGGTGCAGGAAAGACTTCTTCAAGGCTGCACCTGTGCATCCTCTGTCATAGCTCCTCCAGCAGCCTCCTCCATCCTCATTTCTCTGTCTTCAAAGTGCAATTTAGGAATTGAGACGTCCTTTGTTATGGCGCACCAAGACTGATTTCCAGGCCATAGGCTGAAAGACAGACAGGGGAGTCGAGGAGGCTGAAATCTGTGAAATGAGATAAGTCCCGTGTTGTCCAGATGTTGCTTTGCAGGCTACAGATTTGAGTTTTGTGATGATGAGGCAGGTAAGGTTTCCTTGTAATGCCTCTTTCATGCAGAACCATCTGACTCATCAGAGCTGCACAGTGGAATTGTAAATTCCACAGTTTCCTTTAAAAGCCTTTCCTTAATCACATTTTTAACAGTGGTAACTGCTCGGTAAGAAGTACTATGTGGATCTGAAAATAAAAGCTTTAACGATCTCTCTCTGTTACATAAACCAGCCTGTGTGTGTTGGAAATTACCAAACAGTTTGAAGAGTCACAGAATTAATGAGTTTGGGGATGTGATGATTTTTACCTACCTTACAAATCTTAAGTTAATTTTGGCCCATTGGGTCATGAAGTTCTGAGACTTTACAACTCTTCTACATGCCCCAGTTGCTGCTGAGTTTTTCACCTTTTTAAAGTTCATTAAAATGAAATGTGGCAATGCACTAGCATTTGAAGAAATATTTTGATGAAATTCCAACTACTTCTTTTGACTTCAGAAACAAATAAAACATTTAATTTGCCCAGGGGTGCCCAAACTCTTGCATATAACTGGATAAGGCTGTAAAAGGTAACGCTACTCCTAGATTCAGAATGATATTTACACCCACTGGAAGCAACATTGACACTATAAAGGAACAGTTAAGCTTTGATGAAAGACAGCTAGATTAAATGATACAGCAGCAGGAGCAGCAGCCCTACTGCAGCCAGGTGGTCGCACAACAGTGAGAACGTCTCCTCTCTCCACTTGGTTATAACCCCATCTGCTCCTTCAAAGCTGTGTGAGGCAAACTGAAACTCCTCACTGTCATGCATGGGTGTCTCTGCAGGAGGGGTAGTGGGGGATTGAGTGGTGCCCAAAGGGGTAAAGCAATCCTCTCTACTCTGACCTCTCAGCAAGCCCAGGATTCATTATGCTCTGCTGCTGCAGCGTGAAAACAATGATCTATCCGTGGCTGCTGCTTCCTCTCATCCATCTAATAGTCAGAAGGGGTGATTGATTGATTGATTGATTGGCTGACTGAGCAGAGAACTGATGTTACTCAGCCCACAACTGTTTTGTTCAAGTGTAATTTCCCATCTGTGCTGTCTGGACTATGTAGGTTACTAACTGCTTACATACTGTACACAGGTAACTTAGTAAGACTCTGAGATGTTTGGGTTGTTTGAAACCACTGATTTGTGCTTTGTGAAGTTTGAACTTCTGCAGGTAGTGCATTCTATGTTCAGATATTCCTACGAGGCAGAATTGAAAGGGATCCCTCTCACTTCAGCCTACACCAGATACCAAGAGAAATCTGCCAGATACCAAAAGCGCTGCTGAAATGTCTGTAGCCTGAATGATGGCAAGATACCACGGCGGGTAATTCTGGGAATTAATGCTAGCAGAGAAGAGTGTGAACAGCTTTTTGTGACCCACAGTTATGTTCCATTGTTAAGCGGCCTCTACTGTTCCTGTGAGACAGCAGCAGCAGTCATTTCAGCCAATGTCACAATGCGTCAGGTTTATGGTATATTAGAGGGACATTAATCTCGGACATCACTGTTCCATGAATTTACCTTTATTTTTGGCTAATCTCATGTGCTTGTACAGTGCTGTTGATCATATTTTAAAATGATTCATTTACACATGAAAGCTGGCATGTTTTGAGGTGAAAGCTGTTAGTTCTTGTGTCTGTATTAGCATGAGGCTGCTGCTCAGTTCAGCAGGGGCAGGGGATATCCTATTAATGGACTTATTCATGGTACCAGGGAGGCAAAGTGGAGGTATCAGAGGTTCAAAGAAGCACTTTGACCTCACTAAGACCTGGCATCTGTGGCAGAATGACCAATAGCTGTGTTTCTCTGGCATCAATTCAGTCTTTAAACCAGCTCACTGACTCCTCTCTCTACAACTCCATCATCCCTCCCCCTGTGGGCCCTGTTTGGTGTTTTAAAGCAGCCCTTCCCAGTGTGACATGCAATAGATGGTGGCTGTGTGTGTTGTAGCTCTGACATCAAGCTGGCTCAGAGCTGGCAGGTAGAGGCCAACCTACTCAGATAACAGACTGGCGTTGCCCTCCGTTGGCCATGCAGAACCCCAACCATCTGGGACAGAAGAGCAGGGACAGTGATGGACTGATACAGTGGCTGTGTGATTGTTAGGGAGGAATCCCTGGGCAGTGCTAATGGCTTTAGGTTGAAGATTTCAGAGGGTTGGGGGCCTAGTGTGCATTCAATATCTGTTGCATGTAAATCTTAGTTGAAGCCTCCACATTGTGGCTGCATGCACATACATGTCCAGCCATATGGTGCCTCCTGGTAAGGAATGTGGCTTGTGTTGTGTTGTAATATATATTACAGTGTGTGTTTGAGTATTTGTTTACCACAGTGTTGTGTGAAGAGTGCAACCACAACTGAAGTCATTGCTTTCCTATTTTCACTTCAAAAACACTTCACAACCTGAACATATTTAGTTCAACATGTGTGAAATTAGTTCAGGGATGACAAATGGGATTGGAAGTAAAATTTCTCAATGATTCTTTTGGCATTGGAATTTTGAAACCTGTTCTCGATGCCCAACCCTAAAGGTATCATATCCAGATTGCTTCCTCAGCCAAAATGTTTAATTAAGCCTTCAGCTGACATCAAGAAACCCAAATCCAGCACGAAACTGTGAAAACTCACTGTTACGATTCATTAATATGGTTTTCTTCCTGTTCATCAACTCATTCATTCAGCTGATTCATCAACTGTTTTAGCTGTAGAGTCAAAACACACTTTTTATCTGATGGTATGTCGTTATTAGCTTTTAAAGGACTGAAGCTTGGTTACAGAAGCAGTAAATATGTGGGCAAATTCACTTTTTCAGATCCTGTTTGAATCAGTGGTTAAAGCGAGTTCACTTGCTTATACTTGTAAATGCCACCTTTCACTCAGTCTGCCTGTTATGCTCAGACCTTCTGTGATTATGGGCTGATACAGTATTGAACCACTTGTGGTAAACGGTGTATTGAGCATGCATACCATGCCCCCATCCACAAGGAGAGGGACAGAGGGAACAAGAGGCGGTATGTTATTTTGATGGCAAGCTGATTGTGCCGAGGTTGCAGAGGTTTTAAAGGTGAAGGGTTAAAGATGCAGCCTTTCTTTGTCAACACACAATGGGCCACAGCGGAGCAGGCTCCGGCTGTATTGGCTGCTGTTGGAAGCCTTCCCAGCCTCGGGCTATAATGGTCAATAAGCTGTCATGAGGATTAGCAACACAGACCACACACTGGAGAGTTCCATTCTTCTTTACTGCTGGTCCATTATCAGCAAGCACTGCAGCCTTGGAGTATCCACTGAAACAAGGCTTAATCCTGATCCCAGAAATTCCACTATTAAGAGTGGACCAGGGGGCAGCAAAGAGAAAATTGAAACATGATGTGTGGGAGGACTTATTGACCACTATCTTTACAGTGTGTCCTTGTACAGACATTGGCCTTCTGTTGAAAGGTCATTTTGACAAAAGACCGGCCATTCTTTTTAAGCCTGCTGTAGCGTTTTACATTTTAAATGTGTAGCTTCCAGGCAGGAAACATTTTCAATCGTTTTAGCAAAGCCTGAACTGTGTTTTGCAGTGACTTAAAATGGCTTGTGTTGTGTAATCCATCCGTGCCTGCTTTTATTTTAGCCGATACAGTTTTGAGGACAGGGCGATTTGAAAATATGCACAGCTTCACCACACAGTACAGACATGTCTTTGCAAAAACAGAAGCAGACATGGTTCTCACTGTGACACAATTACTGATGTCCAGAAAGATTTCAGTTGTTGTCATACCAGATGTAAACAGATGAAACCTGCAGAAACACACTGGACACTTACAACAGTACACACTTTAGCAGATGCCTGTAATACAACAGTATCCATCCACACACACAGTTTTGGGTTATTTTCTTGTTTTTGAGGCATCAGTCCTTTCTGGTTCCACACCGATTATGCAAGTGAACAGGATTTTAGTACCCGCCACCATATTGACAAGGGGCGCTTAAGCATTCAGTAGCAATGTGTCTCCTTTCATTTGGTTCCCTTGAAAGCTGCTCACAGTGAGTTCAGTTGCTAAAAGAAACTGCGGTTAAATATTTCTATATTTGTTTACTACTTTTGGTCATTCCTGTGCCTTTATTTGATAGTGGCAGGGAGGAGAGACAGAAAATTTGGGGAGAGGGAGTAAAGAAATGACAAGCAGCAAATAGTTGTCAGCTATGGGATCAAACCACTGTGAACGACTACTGAATTAATCTCTTGACTATCTTGCAGATTAGTCAATTCATCTAAAAAATGGGCTTTAAAAAAAAAAAAAAACCTAAATGACCACTTCATTGAAGTTAATTTTATTTTGGCAAACTGTGTGTCATTATGTAATGAAGCGCAGTAGGAAATGGAGACCAAGGTTTACCAATGTAAATGCAATGCTGTAGGGTAATAACTGGTTTCTGAACCCCCTAATAAAGTGAAAAAGTTCAGTCTGTATATTAAACAAAGGACAACTTGGACATGGTGGATATTTTACAAGAATGAAGCTGCTGAAGCAACTCTTTTTCTGCTTATTGTTTAATTGTTCTCTTAACTTTGACAGTATCTTCAAATTCTGTGGCTCAGCACATTGTCACAAGTGCTATCCAAATTGTACACAGTGTACAAACCACCTTTTTGTTATGTGATCTTTTAAAGTGCTCCTATTCGTCAGAAACCGTGGACTTTTATTTCACTTTGAAACTAAAATGAGTTAGACTTTGCTGCTGCTGCCATCATCTGAAACTGTAGCGCTGCCTGCCGCCAAAGTTATGAGTAGAGCCAAAAAAGAACTGATGTCATGATGCAACAATTAAATTGGGACACAGAAAAAAAACAATGGAATGAAATACAGTCTTTTGCATTTATTTATTTATTTGTAAATATGCGTTTGTTTACAATATTGATGGTGCTTTTTCAGCATTATGGTAGTCCTAAAGCAGGGACTTGCAGCAAAGAGCTTTTGACCCTATGTGGTATGTGCCCTTAACTCTGGGCTGTCAAATTGTAGAGTTTGATTTGTAATGGCAAGAAGTGAATTATTTAATCACTGTTTCCTGAAAG